CAACGGAAATGTATCGTAAAATAAACACGTTTTCTCAGAATTTATAAAATGTCACTTATACCGTTCTGGTTTTCACCCAATTCAATATCATAGATGTAGCCCGTGTGGGAGAACTCGGAGTCGGATTTACAAGGTTTTCAAATATCTTAATTTTCAGAGAGGGAAATTACCATTCTTGAAAAAAGAGTAAATTTATGACCAAATATGTTGCGAATATTAACCAGAAAAAAACATTCCAAAAAAGTGTTTTAATTTAACTGCTGACCGTACATTCCTAATTTCGGTAATAAACTATTGATGAAAATAATGTATAGGCATGGAAAAGTATGCCATGACATTTTGATTTTCAGGTTCCTTGAGTACATAACATACAACAATAATCGTCTCATAACAATCATATGTCAATGATATATTCATTTCTCCTGCATTTCTGAAACGTTTCTTTTAAAATCGCTTAATCGTACCAATCTCGATATGTTCTTAAGCCAAAAACAAGGCACTATTAGTATAGAAACTGAAAGTAAAAAGTACGCAGTGAATCGTACTGTTCTTAAACAATACACATTAGACTGCCACCTTCTTGCTCGCTCGTTGTCGCAGGATCATTTCACCGTAAAAGTCGTCGTTGCTCTTTATAGAGTCGTTCGAGCACCTTACACATGCAGTGACTGATTCACACATCAGAGCAAATGACCTTCATTGCTGCGCTTTGTATTTTGAGAAAGGACACAGGGTTGTACCATGCTATGACAGAACGTTGAAAAAACTACGTAAGAAATATACTCGAGGATCTTTTCAGGCTAATATTCAATATACTTTTACAATATTTACTAAACATACATACATCTTGCGCTGGAAGTTAACGCACATTAAGTTCAAGTGTCTCAAAATACATATTCAAAAACTTCTCGGGCATGTAGGGCGGTTGAAGATGATTATGGTTTGGCAATGCTCATGTGGTGAAGTATTTCATATAACGAATCACACAAGATATTTACCCTTGAATTGTCGGCAACTCGCTAAACACATATTTAAGATAAGATAAATTTAAACTGTAATTGGAAATAAACCCGTGACAGCTAATTACATAAATAAGGTCACATAACTAATGTAAAAATTATATATTACTAACAAAATATAACATCAACACGAACTAACATAAGCTTAACACTATCATAATAATTATATAATATTTGGTAGATTAACTAAATCTCCTACACTGCGTCAGAATGCTTTACCCTAAACATTGCTGTAACACGAAATGTCTACCTCACCAGGGCAAAAATCACATGTGTAACGTTATATTATTTCCCACCTTATGTTCTTTGACAGAGCTCATCTTCGATCCTCTACCTGTTCTAGAAGCGCATAGCATTTATTCTTTAACACTTTTATTCTTCATCCGCTGAAACACCGAATTTTATAGAAACGATGGCACAGCAAGAAGAAATTCAGTACACCTGGACGATGCGTCCACAATGTCAGCATTGGCAACATTGTTCACTTGGCGAGCCCAGTGTGCACGGAACAGACCTCCAGAGACTTCCCGAGTCATAGTCGAGTCATAGCGTGTCCAGCTAGTCTCCAGATTTCGGTTTCAAATTCTCATCTGATGTGTCGACCATAAGAATCGTGGCCTTACTCCTTGTGGAGATTAGTCAGTAGGTTACTCACTCCTTGAGGACTGCTGAAAACACGGATGCTCTCATTAAAGAAATGAAACAATTAAAAACGATACAGCACTCGAGTGTTTTCTCCACAGTGCGCTCAACCTTAGATCATCTCCACTCAGCGCTAGTGCCACTGAACCTGATCACCTTCTGCCTTTCGTTTGGATAAGATTGTGAATAGAGATTTGTGTGTGTGTGTCTCTCTCCCCCTCTTTCTCCCCATCTCTCCCTCTCTCTCCTTCTCTCCCTCTTTCTCTCTCTTTCGCTCTCTCTCTCTCTCTCTCTCTCTTCCTGTCTGTCTGTCTGTCAAAGCGTACACAAAGTTTAAGGCAAAATTAAGTTCCTCAGTCAATGTGCACGCTGGTATCGCTATTGAAGTATCAAACTATTATTAACTGTTTGGGCGGTAATTAGATTAATTGATGATTGCAGTTTTTAACACCATTAACCCCTTAAACATTACATGACAGACACAGTTGTTGTTTATATTCCGAGGCGACAGTTGAAGTTTATAACCATCCGAGTACGTTATTTGCGTTATTGGCCTGTGATATTCAATGCTTTCACCTTCTTATGAGAAACAAGATATAAAAAAGAAACATTTCTTTGAATAAGTCTACTCTTAAGCAAGTTTTAGCTGCAATTCAGTTGTTTACGTAATGTACCGTAAATTGTTACATCTTAGACGGTCGCCTGCAGTTAAGAATAACTTTTAGTTTTTTGGATGGGTCACTATTTCAATACTTATTAGAAAAATAAGTATTAATTACTTTTATCTACATTATATATATATATATATATATATATATATATATATATATATATATATATATATACATATATTAATATATTGGCATACTGAGACAAACCGCACTTGTTCTCGTGACGCGGTACCCCTCAAGCCACCGACCTTATGTCCTCAACTACGTTCGTACGTTTTCTCAAGTCAGACCTGCCCTGAAGTTTCAGCAAAGCTTTCGATCAGGGTGCCCAACACTCCGTCAGTACGCCCTCCGCATGGGGGCATTCAAATATACAAAATGTTCAAACATTTCAATGTTTCGAAATATCTACGTAACCTGTACATTAAGTGCCTTCACGAATTTCCCTTCATGCTACAGAGGAACTGCAAGCACACTAAATCGAGATCGGTCAACCTGAAACGTCTTCTGCGTTGCGTCACAGTGAAGTGAAGAGAGCCGCATTGTGGCGCAACGTGTGGTGTGGCCAGACAGCGTTGCGCCGTCTTTGGGCCCACAGCGGCACGCGACGCGTCGACGGAAAGGCCGTTGGCGGGCGGGGCGGAGGCGGGGGCGGGAAGGGGGATTGCGCCATCCGTCAGCGCGGGCGCCGAGCGAAGCAGGGGGAGGGGTGAAGAGGGCGGAGCGGAGGCTCTGCGCCGCGCAGCTATTTCTCTGCAACTCGAGGCGCGCGCTACTTGGACCCTGTGTTCTAGCGCAGCATGCGTGTAACTTAGAGAACAACATCGCGTTACGCAACCACGCGTTACATACGGGTTTGGGGTTCAGCTAGCGTTACATACGGGGTTTCGTTAAATGATTGTAGCGATATTTTTAGTCGCCATTTCATTATTTGCGGTTCAGTTGTCAACAATACACACTATATAAGTAGTGAATCACATCTTCCAATAGTGAAAGTATTTTTTTATTAACAAGAGTGTACAAGTATCGTTTATGTTAAGGAGATAAATTGCAGTTTAGATATCTGTACTGGATAAATACTATTATCTACCGCACAATTAATTCTAGAAAGCCTGAGGTGACTCCAAGGGACTCACTTTTATCTTTCAATGCTCATAAAATTATTTGAAAGTGGATCGCTCCCCTTAGCATCCAGGAATTCTTTTAAATATACCTTTAAATGTTACACCAAAACATCTCTCAATTTTTGTATTTTTATTCTCATATTGCGATACTTTTTTTAGGTCATAGAAGCCAGTGGTGAGTTCACCAGACTCAATTGTAGTTTCGTATTTTTCTCGTCACAGATGAGCTTTTAAATTGTTCCGTTTCTCTGAAAAAAATTCTGGTTATTGTTGAAATTGTAAGAAGTCGTCTTTTGCGTACTTCTATTGGTGCTAGTGAAAAATGTTGCATACGTGTATTGCAACTCACGTACATCTCACATGATTGCACAGACCATTCTTCGTTGTATCCAGAGTTGTATCAGTGCGTGATTATTGTGAATTTTTGTTACGAGTATTTTTTAGGGGAAGTAAATATTTTCGAAATTGAATAGCGATATTTTATACGTCTTCCCGAGATACATACTTTCATTTGTGAAATAATCAACATGCCAATTCTGAGTGATGCTGATATTCCGGTGGGTTTCGAGTTATATGATGAAAATATATCTGATGGATCGCTTTCGGGAAGCAATGACAGCAATTACAACCCCGAAAATAATTCTAGTGAAAAAGATAATGTTAGTGTCGGAAGTAACTATACCGACACTGTTGACCGTGAAGACACTGTCATTCTAATATGTGCAAATGAAATGTATGTTCGAAGACTTTTCATGCCGCAGAGAATATTTTAGGAAGAAGAAGCAAATTAATTGCTGTCCAAAAATAATAAATAGAAATAAAAGAATAGTCATTGTTGTCTGTTCTAACAATTAAAATCAAATAGATCTTTTATCCTCCATGATTCCGTCGGGCTCACCTCAGGCATATTCGGTTGGAAAAATGCTTCGGCGCTCTAGGGTTAATAATATTATGTTCTTTCAATAGGCCTGCGCAGCAACAGAAATAAAATGTAACAGATTTAGTTGGGCTTTTGGGCCAACACGAATAGAGGGAAGGACTCTTCTCGCCCCATACAATGAAACTTGGAAAGGAAGATGGGGCGGAATACCTCTGGAATCTGGTGGTTAATGGATATCTGTAAGGGTGGTTCGGCAAAATAACCGATATCCACCAACCTCAAATATGCAACAACAACAGTACTCACACATGCCTTTTCTGACATACGTAATCCCACAGAGTACTGACGTCATTATCTGGATGTCTCAAACACAACCATAAAAAAGAGCACAACTCAGCGCGGGCAAACGTCCCTGACGATGACGGCGCCCGTGATGGCCGATCACAAAGCCATAGGAAGGCACTGCTGACGTCATGATCGATTTACTCCAAAACCAGCCATAAGAAAACATCGCTACTCACCGCGCACGGGCAGGGTGGGCACGCAGTCGACGCGCACGTCGCTGACGGCGCCCGTGATGGCCGATCACGAAGCCATAGGAAGGCACTATTGACGTCATGATCTATCTACTCCAAAACCAGCCATAAGAAAGATCGCTACTCACCGCGCACGGGCAGCGTGGGCACGCAGTCGACGCGCACGTCGCTGACGGCGCCCGTGATGGCCTGGCTGACGTACACGAAGCAGTACTCGACGAAGCGCTCGGAGAAGAGGTCGCAGTGGAAGTGCAGCGCGTGCTGGCCGCGCGTCACGCGCTGCTCCGCCGTGTAGTGCAGCGACGTGGGCGGCGCCAGAGACGCCACGTCCGCGCTCAGGCGCGCAAACAGCCGCACGCGGTCGCCCTGCTCCAGGATGCACTGCGGGTACTGGAAGAGCACGGGCACGCCCCCGCCCAGCGGGTCGCACGGGAAGATGCTGCGCGCGTGCACGTTGAACACGAACTTCTCGCTCCACGCCGCCTGCACACACACACACGCGCGCGTGACTAGAGAATTCGTTTGGCCAAGAAGGACACGACGCTTCCTCCTCATTATCATTTTTTCAACGACAACTCACTTAGAGACTGAGTTCATCGAGAGGGCTGACCCGTATTTGACCAGAGGGGCGTGCACGGGTTATACATGATCAATTTACGACACAGTAAGAAGCTCCGCAATTCATACTCACAAGGCTGAAAGCAGACCGTTACAAACACAATCCAAAGATGAAAATTTTCCAGGATCGTCTGAGAATCGAACACGGCACCTCCAGATCGTAGCTAGCCATACAATACGCGATGTTTCTACCGAGAGATCAAGTATTTAGTAAAGTGCTTGAATGTGGAATATGGAATTTGGAATAAAGTGACAGAATGTGGAATATTATGTTATTCACTTACCATTATGCAACGAGAAATCGAAGAACACACTTGGTGCATGCAAATACTTGCGGAATGGTAACAATGGAATTAGTAAGCGTGAAAATTATCTACGAAGAACATCTAAATAATTGGCTTGCGATCACATCGCCGCTCTGTTTGCCCAATGAATACCCACGCGATGTAACTGCTTGGTGTCTAAGAATCCCAAAGACCTTTCATAGTTTATGAGGCACCTATATATTTTATTATTGGGTTTCTTCTACAAACATAACAAAGACATACGTTGTGAAACTTTAATGAAACTATATACGTAATATAACTATGTTCCTTGAGTTTGAAGGGGGACCTACTCATCATTTATAATAGTTCAGAAAGTGAATGACTGCTTACCCAAAGTATTCAGAAATTGGATCTGGTTTATATAAAAACACAGTAAACCAAGCCAAGCAATATTATTTCATTATTCACCATTAAAAGAAATTGTAATTTGTTGAAAATTTATATTGAATCACTAATTAAAGCTTAACATATTTCACAGTTCATATGGACCAATAGTGGGTACTAGTCAATGTTAATTTACTTAATTGCGTCCAAATGTAACGGAGAGTGCTCCGAATTGAAACGGGGGTAGGTGAGCTCACCCGAGGCTAATGCTATGCACAGAGTGAAGCGCTCGCGTAAAAGCTCCGGGGTGCCGCAGGGATCTCTCTCCGTGACCTGCGGCCGAAAGAGCCACGCCCCTTCCCCCTCCTCTCCTCTCCACTCTTCTCGTGGAATAACACGTCGGCGCTCGACCACCCGTGCTGCCATCTGGCCGCGCTCCCACGATCCCCACCCCAC